CTAACGCACTATATTCTAGCATATATCTGAGATATGGACCCAAGATGCTACCAATTCACACTAAAAGCTTTTCATATTTTCTCAGAGAAGTAAAAACTGAGCAGTGTTCTAGATGTTTGAGGTATCTTCTTATCCACAGAATGATGCACCACAGTGCTTTAACTTGAATTGATCATACCTTTTCAACCTTTAGAGTGTAATTCAAAATACATTTCTGTATTTTATAACTCATTATGTTTCTCTGACACACTACACAATTAAACAATGTGAACAGAAGTTTTGATAAAATCACACATTTTAGACATTATTATGCACAATAATTTATGACCTTTTTGTATATTATACACGAAGTTCTATAAAATAAATTCCACATTTTACCTTATTTAACTTAGGTAAGTTTACCTTATTTTTCTCTTTTTAAGGCCTCATCCCAGAAGACATGCAGACAATGTTAACTATGCAGTTAGAATCTATTTGTTTTTCACCTCTTTTTTCTTACAATCTAGCAACTATTAAATTTCAAAAATAATACAGTTCAGATCTTGCTACCAACAAAAAATAAGACAGTTAGAAACTGCTACTCTAAGTGCCATGTTCCTATTTTAGACAGTTCTCTGTATTTTTTGGTAAGACCAGACTGTCTACAATTATCATTTGCACATACATCACAATTAAGCCTTAGATGAAGAGTTCTCTGTTCTTATAGCAGAAACACCTCATCCTCATCACTTTTTCAAGATTCATGGCAAAGAAACCGTGATTGTTTAGAAGTAAATGCAGACTTCCAAAGGACATTAAAACCTTCAGCATGAGAAGATTTAAAATGAGATCTTATTAATTTTTGATTCACCATTTGGAACTAATAAAAACTATTGTCCCTAAAGCCAGATTGTACACACTGACTTCATTGCAACTACTCTAAAAAGACTACTTCATCTACATGAGTGATCTTCAAATAAAAGATGCCACTTAAAATTTTTGCAAGGAAAAGCTTGAATCTTGTCCACAGCTATTGTATACATTTAAGAAACTTCCCTTATTTATTTGGTTCTTTCCTAGGCCTAACAATCTCTTTGAAGTTCATTTCAACAAGAGAAGTAAAATTTCCACATTAGCAAAGCAGACACTTCAAATAACATCTATTTCATTTAAAGCAAAATTCATCAAGCTATACCCAACAAACTGCATCCTGTGACAGGACAATTGCAAATTCATCCATTTTATTTCTAGCAACATAGGTTTGGCCTACATGTCTGCTTCTACCTGTTGGCGGGTGGCTTTGAGGAAGATTCTGCATCATAAACTTTGCATCATACAATAAATGCACCACCTCACCACATAATGCTGGTTCTAAAAGGAAAAAAAAAACCTTAGAATACTTGTAACAGGTCCTTGTATTTGCAGTCAGAAGAACTGATTGTCATTGTTTTATCTTGCGCACCTGCAGAAGCTTACAAAGGTCTGGAAAAGTTATCCATCTCACAGTCTATAATTATGCATATTTTCATATTTTTTCACACTCCTTACCAATTCTACTGGCCTTCTTTAAATTTTTTGCTAACTTCATTAATCTCCTTATAAAGCAGGGAAAATCGTGCAAACCACTCCAAGGCCCTAGATGCAAACAGCCATTAAGAAAGTAGAAGTGCTGCCTTACACAAGCAGTTCCACTTAGAAATCATACAAGGAAAGTGTTCCACCTGTAGCTGAGATCACCTTGCTGATGAGCATCTGAGAGATCTCCTGGGTGGGCACTGACAACCGGGCACAGCAGCTTCAGTAGGCATAAAACACAAATGCAGCACACTGACAAGCTGCAGGGCATGGTGAAGATGCCATAGGTCTCCCTATTTCCTCTCTATCCTCTTTCTCTCTCTGTGATTCTGTGAACAATCACAGCAGCTATATATGTATCCATCCAATACACTATTGCAGACCTATGTAATGTATGCAGGGGCAGAGGATGCATTTGCTCTGGATTTATAGTCCACCTGGCCCACAGCCTGCTACTTCTGCCTAGTAAAGTCTCACTGGAAAAACACAGATTGCTAATTGAGTTGAGGCATCCAGTTCAGTTTCACTTGCTTGACTGAAAACATCTCTGCATTTGCCCTTCTTTGTAACATGCCGTGTCAGTATTTTTATGAAAGTTTCATATATTTAAGTGCTTTGCAAGATCAAAATGTAAATTGTTCTTATTTTTTAATTGTTTGCCTTTTTGGTTCACATTCTTTTGTTTGTTTGTGTTTTTGTTTTTTTTTTTTTTTTTTTTTAATTTTTATTTTTTTTCCTTTTTTTTTTTTTTTTTAATTAAATTTTTTTTTTATCTTACTCTCAACAATTCTAAAGGCATTTTTCCTTTTGGTGTAATCTGAGTATGTGTAAAGATGCCTCTCTTCTCCATCACTGTGCATTTGTAGAGTTTAAAAGATGTCACTTGACCCCAGTGAGTCAAGACAGCAGTAGTTAAAATTTCAATCACCAACAGAATTTGATGCCACCAGCAGACTGCAGAAAGTCCCCTTCCCAGGCTGGAGTACATGCAGAATTCAGCCTGAGCACCCCCATTTCCATTGCACAGACAGCAATTCCTGAGGCAGAAGTGGGAAGATAGGATTTTTGCTTCACAGGGATCAAGACACCAAAGTAGGCTTCCTTGGGCCACCAGTTCCACAAAGCCAATATTAACTCTTGAGTTGTCTGTGTATCTGCTCTTGTATTCACAAGTATTTCTATTTATTCCCCCTTCCATCCTTTTCCTTACCCAAAAACAAACAGCAGTATTTGGCATTGATCACACTAATCCAATGCATTTTCTGCTTCAGACGCTAGGGAATTACATTTACCTCTTAAAACCAAAAATATGGTTTTATTTTACTACATCCATTCAACAACTATCTTTGTGTGTCTTTTAATTAGATCATCAATTGCTTCTATTGAAATAAAAATCACTTGGTCTGTCCTTTAAGGATTTTATATTTTCCACAACAAATATTAATTAATTACTGTACAAGTTTCAGAAGAGTAATTGGTTTTAAAGAATGATATTCAAGACATGTAAGCTTTTTGATATTATAGGTTAGACTAGAAGAGAGTTCATTATTATATTTACGGTGCCGTACTTCATATTCCTCAGGTCCTTTATGAAAATAAAACATAACAAAACAAAACACAAGTCTCAAAAAACCCAGAGTAATTCCAACATCTGACTTCTTCTCATTGCTCCATGTTTTTTTTTGTCTCAAACATTATTTAAATTTAATTAGTGGTTAGGCTTTCTATTATTTTACCTATCATAAGACAGCAGCCACTTGGCTTGTTTTTTTTAAGAATGCTTTCTGTCTCCAAAGATGTTTATCCTGAATTCATTACCATGACATCCTGATTGGAGCCTTTGCTCTTCCAAAGCAGCTGCAGAATTTATAATCACTAAAAAAACCCAATCAGAGACATGAAGATATCATCCATACATTTTACAAGTCTGACAGTTGTGAAAAAGAGATGCCAATGTGTGAAAACAGTATGTATAAATCCATACGTGAGTTTTCCATGGAAGCAGTAGAAGTGACTTTGTATGAGGGTTCTGTCCTCATTCTGCAATCTCTGCCCTGCAAGGTGGCAATAAACACTGCTTCTCTACCCCTTTTCCCAGTGAATTTATGACCACATATAATTTTCTCTGGCATCAATATCCAACACGGAAAGGAGTAAAGGCAAATACCCCAGAAGATGGCAGATTTGAGCTCATCCAACAGCCTTCAAAAAAAAAGCCCTGTGAGTAATTCCTCTGCTTTTAGCCTGTACCTTTCAACTCCGCTGCAAACTCTGTATTTAAGGAGATATGCATTTACCGCCTTTTGCAAAATATACTGGAAATCTTTATCAATCTTTATCAATAAAGGTCAATTAACTGAAACCTATCAGGTTTTTTTTAAATTTTTTTTAAGCATTTGTAAAAAAAATCCTTAAACATAAAAAAAAAAAATTCCTTTTTTTCCTCTCTGGAAGTAAAATATAAACTTATTATAAACAAATATGCTATTGACATATCTGCTCAAAAGGAGCAATGCTTTGATACCATTTGCTTTCAGCCATAATCCCAACATAGCTGTTTTACCAAAGGCAGATATTGGGACTGCATTGCTTATAATCAATGGCAAAAATTCAGAAGCAAGTATGTATCTTATTGTTGCATACAATACATATATGACATTCATTCACAGGGACATTTACACAGAAGTTGGTACAAACAAGAGTGGCAGAGCCCAGAATTTGTTTACATCTAATTTACTGTAGACATGCCTAAATTTTCCCAGCATTACAATACATTGTCTTACTCCCAGCCTAACTTTGACCAAATGGTGCAGTACAAAAACTTAAAACCAGACATGAAATACAATTAATAAATATATATTGAGCATACACGACCTAACAACTGCTGCATGGCACCAATGGCAGCAAAAGGTTTTACTGTGCAAATTGCATAGCATAATTCCACTTAAAGCAATGGACTGCTATGAATATGTTATTAGACTTGTAAGAAATAGAGTAGAAAACTATCCACCAACAAAAGAGTTTTAAGAGTTTAGCCACCATTATGTCTCTTTGTGATTAATTTTAAGAAACAAAATTCATAACTGAAGATCCATTACTAGTACTGCTCTGATTACACATGCCCAAAGATGATCAAGATGATCAAAGATGATCAATACCTTAACATTTAATGAAAGATTTTACTGAGATTTCTGAAGCCATGAATTATGTCACGGTGCAAATTGTTTCTCCATATTTCTTTCATTACACAGCTAGTAAATTTTTGCCTAAAGAAGAAAACTCCATTGCATTACTAGGAATGAAAGACTATGGGTATTGTCTGATTAAGTATACACTCTACAAGACAGCAGATAAATATTTCTTTATGACTACCAAAAATTTTGGGCTTAATTTCAAATTAATTAACAGCAAACAAAATCTCATATTCAATTAACAAATTCACTTACCATGATTCCAGTAAGTAAACAGACCCCCTTTCCACAGTATGTATTTGGTACCATATCCCCATATCCAATGGATAGAAAAGTTATTGAAATCAACCACATTGCTCCAAGGAAATTGCTAGTAACATCCTGTTGATCATGGTATCTGAAAAGAAGAAAACAATTTCTTTACCATGAAAACATTTGTTTAACTATTGTTTGCTCATAAAAAAAAATGCATTAACTGGTCCATACAACCATTTTTGTATACAATCTCATTTTAAAAACAGCTGTAAGGAAATAAATATAATTCAAATACAATTAAATGAGCAGTAATGAATCAGAAGGTATGAAAATAATACCAGTAGTAGAAATGGTTTATAATTCAGCATTTGGTTATTATTGTGAAGTGGCAGAAATCTCTTTGTTTTTAACATAATCTCTTCACCAAGGGTACAAGTCCTGTTAATAATCTGCAGTAGCATAAGACATCAAAATAAAACAATTGCTGTGGTCTAAGGCAAATATGAGAGCCAGAACAGGTTGTGTGCACAACCAGACAGCAGAGTACATCTTCACCTCCTTGGCCTGAATGCAACTTTATGATCAGAAATACAATCCTAAACTAACACATGCTGATTTAGACAATGTATGGTCTTCCCTCTCCTTCTACAAGTACAAGGTAAATAAAAAAGTATGTCATTGTATTTCTCATCATCAAAATATATTTTTCTTAATATAGCAAAAAATCCCTTTAGTGTTTAGTCAGCTATAATGTGAAATTTCATGATGTGACATTTCTTGACTTAGTTACAGTATTATAGTAGAATATGTTCATATTTCCCTTCCAAAAACTGCCAAATTCAGATTAATAATCTTATCTTTACATTACATACATACCAAATGGAAGGTGAAGATACATTTTACATTTAAAAACCTGTTGTCACCACTCATCCTGTGGTGGGAAAAAAGATGCCTAATAGGATAAAGTAGGGTGGAATTTTGCTTCCTGGACAGGCCAGCTTTGCCATAGAGACTATCTGCAGCAGCCACTGCAGACTCAAGGTTGCAATCACCCCTGCAGCTGCTGTGAAGCCTTAGGTTAACTAAATGCTGTTAGATTCCCCAAGAGTATAATTTTAGCCAGTCCCTAAATCTGTGTCTCACGGGGGTCACAGAGGGTCATTTAATTAGTTCACAAATCCGTAAACAACCTGCTTTCCACAACTGAAATAACTGCTTCTGTTTCTTCCTTTCTGGACTGCATTCTCTGTGACAGACCAAGAATGCAAAGCAAGCACACAGGAAATTTCCTGTTCTCACACTTTTAAGATATTCACCATAAATTTCTGCAAAATATTGTCTTCAAAGTCCCACCTATGTTCTGATGTTTACTACAACATAAAACTCTTTGACTACCAGAGACCACAGCAATCACTCCGATCAAGTCTGTTCCACACTTCCTCTGGATTTCCTCTCTCCTGGTGTCAGTGTTGTCTCTCATATACTTTATGCAAGTTTTTCTGTTTTGCCTAGAACAAAACCTAGAAAAATGTAGTACAAGCCCACGTTGGGAGGTCCTAAGGACATAAACAATGATAACCACAACAGCAAAAAGAGTTAAAATGACCACAGAGCTTTGCATATAGCAAAACACAATCTGGCATTGTTTATTTTTCTAGACTGCTCTAAATGTTAGGGATTTTAGTCTCCACTTAACAAAAGTAGCAAGTAACAGCCGTGAATTAAATATATGGATACAGAGAGAGAGAAACACAGTTGTCCCATCCAGGAGGCAAGAAGAAAGCTTGAGTACCTATCATGCCAATCCCTACAGAGTATCAAGTAAGAGATATGATCCATAGGGTCTGGATGAGCTTCACAGAAGGGTACTAAAGTTACAACACCTTCTAATGTTAGCATTTCAGGCAAATATTAATAAATGCCCACATAAATATTTAAAATACATTTCTTTCATGTCTCCCTTTGGATTTTGAACCAAAATCCATGCTTCATATGACTGAAAACAGAACATTCAAAGACAACTCACTAAGTTCCAGAAATAAACAACCCATAAGGAATATCAAAACTACTTTCTTAAGTCTTGAACAACATGGGGAAGAGATAATGGAAGCCTTTACCCACTTATCCTCCTTTACCCATGTCAGAAAACATACAAGCCAACCTACACATAAGTTCTTTAAAAAAGTTGACATAAATTTTAAAAGACACAGCAGAAGCCTTTCAAGTTTCATTGGAGACATGGAGACAATAAAGGTTCCTTAGATGAACTATTCATTAAAGCTACCTACATCAATATTTGGTAGCACAATTCAAGGACCTGTTTAAATGTTTCCATCTTGTCAGGCCAGGCTTCCTGGATTTCTTACTCAGAGTATCTCACCTAGTTATGATTGTAAGGCTATACCTCAGCAATCAAATGTTGCATACTTAATTTAAAAATCATCACCAGTACTTACTAATGAATTTACTGTCATTAAGAAACAAAGGCCATGTCATGTCCTCCCTATTGCTGCAACTGCTCAAGCACAGTAAAGCATGCGAATTACCTAATTTTCCTGATTTTATATTAAAAAAAAAACAACAACCTTATTATCTTGAAACTGTACATGGAAAGTTGAAGGACTGACTTCTGAGGTTAAAAATCTGTAAGTACAGTGAAGACAGTATAAAAGGTTATCCATGATAATCCTATAATTTCTTTGCCACATTTTTAAGAGGGTGGTTTAATCTTGTCTTATATATTTTGTAATCTTACTTCAGATTGTTGAATCTCTGTGGTTAGCAGTTCTGGTACTTGTCCACACGCTTTGGATTTTCATAAGATTACATCTGTGTCAGCAGAAATTTCCTGTACCTTCCTTAGTACTTTACTAAGTCACTAGTCACCACTATCACCTGGAACTCAAGCCTGAACCAGCAAAGCCAGGACAGTCTTCTGCTACCTTGTGTCCAACAATCATGTAAAAAATTATTATTACATCTGTATCAAAGCAGGAAAAGCAATATCTTAAGAAAGTAGTATTGCTGAATCTTATTTGTGCAGTCATGGGAATGGCTAAAAATTCATCACAGGTATTTAAAATTGCTTTGTTTTGAGGAAGGGGAAAGAAATTCACCCACTGCCTTTAGACATGTTTTCAAACTTATGCCAGCATCAAAGAGTGAACTTCTCAATTTATGCAGGGAATAGCAAAATAGTCACAGCAGAATTTAAACATTCTTATATTTTTCTATGAAAGCATCTCTAATGTGTGGCACTATAAGTCACCAGAAGACCTCATAAAAGCCATTCCCACAACTGTATCTTTCACTTCACCATTGAGATTTTCCCCAGTAGAGCCAATTCCAGTGGACATTATAGAGAGCAGAAAAGCCAACCACTCCAGCACTGGAGCAGAGCTGTCTTGCTCACTGTCAGTAATCACAAGCCACTGCAAACTTCTCATTCCAGCTGGGCTGTGAAAGACAGCTTGGGTGTAACACATTGCAATATTCAACTGTAGTTGAATATCCATTCACTCTACATCTGAAACTTCTGAAATCCAAGAGGAAAACACTTTACCATGAAAAACTAGGAAATCTGAAAGCTCAGAATTAAAGAAATATAAACAATGATTTCCTTTCATTGAAGTCTTTCACACAAAGCAGAATCTTGTCATTAGCAAACAAATTCCAAAATGGACGATTTGTTGTCATTAATTCTTACTTATATAAAGGGGTTTTAAAATTATTTTAAAATTAGTCATGGCAAATATATTCATGTAAATATTTAAAACCCATTCAATAAAAAGTTGCATAAGAAAGATCATTAATCACTTGAGGATAAGAGCTAGTATTTAACTGTATTAAAACTGCATCTATATTCAGTTTGATTTTCTTGATTATACCCAGCCTCACACAGCTGCTGAATAAAGGGTCATTTACAAAAGCTATGTGTTCCTGCAGTGTACAAAAATCATTGGCTGAAGTCACACAGGTGTAAGAATTATTTATCACACTTCTTTTGTAATAAGAGATATGTCAACAGGCAGGCAGTGCTGCAGCTGGAACACACTATTCACCAGGCAATCACCACCCTGTGAAACACCACTATCCAGTTCTCACCAATCAGCATATATAAGTCTTGACACCACTCTATTTAAACCAAAAATAGCTGAATGATTATATTTGTGGAAAAATAGCATGGCTCAATTCCTTCTCAAGCCAAACTGAGTGGGAGTTTTACAACTCATCTCAGAAAAATAGAAATATATTCTTCAGGCGACAATACTGCAGTAGCCTTGTTTGTCAAATAAATATTTCAAAACTTTTATCAAACAGCAATCTCCTTCTACTTTTACTATTGGTGTCATGATTTTTAGTATTGCTTCCCTTCCCTGTTTGTATGTGATGAAGTTTAATTTAATTGGTAGAAAATCTGCTCTTTAGCTGCACATAATTATCACAGATTCACATCTGGACATCTAAGACACATTCTTAAAAAGAGATTAATAAGAAGTAATCAAGTATAACATTAAGTTGACCACTGATACATTAATTCTCACAGCAGTTTCAATTCAGTTACTCTTGCTTCCATGAACAGTTTCTGATAACTTTGCTATTCTTGGTTTTGCCTCCTTGAACAAGTCAAGGAGAGAACTAAAAATGATTGAAAAGATGACCATTTCTGTAGGGAAGAAAATGGACTGCTTTTACCATAATCAAGAAGAAAACCCTGGCAATGGCAACTTAGGCCGAGTTTTTCCTTGTCAAATGTTAAAATCTTTTAGACTATTAAGAGCTGGAAACAGGCTTATCCCAATAAATCAGAAACTTGTCAAGGCTCTGTTGAGAAACTGATTGATCTAACCACCTATTAGAGTTCCCCCACAGTATCCAACCATTCTGTTATTAACTGTCTTTTTAGTCTTAGTCAGTCAGTAAGCACCATGTTGTCTGTGATGATAGCAGAGATGTCTTTGTACTCCTTCTCCCTTCCTCCTGTTTAAAGGAAAGGAAAAATGAAATCCATAATAGCACATGGAAGGAACAGTGAGGCTGACTCCAAATATGATGAAGTAAATGGAAGAAATTCTGCCTGTCTTGGGCTTAGGATCAGAAGGGCAGCTTGGAAAAATGCATGCTGCTCCTCAGCTTTTTTCT